ACTACTACTACTACCACCACGACAACCTCTACTAATGCTCAAGCCTTACACCTTAAGATGGCGCTTCTACAGATGCGTTCCTTTCGCGATGATCCTGTTCGTGTCATGTCGCACTCTTGGAGTCCAGCGTTACGGCGCAGGAATCACTGCTGTAGAGCACGTACGTTTCCTCCCGCCAAGATATGCTTGAGGTCGCTGAGGCCGATTGTAAGTGGTTGGGGTTTAGGATAGGTTTAGGACATATGAGGTCGCGGGAGGTATACTTTAGGATAAGATGTCCAAGGTTGTGAGCGATCTTTGGACTTTGCAGCTTTGCTGGGTAGCTCAAAGGCCTTTGAGGTCACAAAATGTCGCAGTCGACCCTTCGCCGGATCGAACATGCTCCTGCTTGCCGTGGAGGAAGAACTGGGTTCTTGCGACCTCGCGTCCCCGAGCCAGAACGCATCCGCACGGCCTTTGAACAACAAAAAAGCACCTGAGGGCCATGCCACCAAAGAGGGCTGCTCCACAGGAGCGGCTGGCATCTCCAGCAAGGCCGCTGCTTCTCTCACCTCTGTGCGAGCCAGGGGCGAGGGAACACTTTGCAGCCGAAGGCAAGACGACCATGCCCCAATCCATACAAGCCTCGTCCAGGGCTCCACGGGACAGCTGTGCGACACGCATGCTGACCTGGAGAGTACTCAAGAACTGACAACTACGGTGACAGCTGCGCAATCAAAACCCCTTAAAGCCCCTAACCGCGCTCCGCAAGATGGACTATCGCCAGGATCTATAAAACTTCGGCAATGCCTGTCGGAGACTGCCAAGCCAGCTGCTTGCACCTCAGACCACAGCCGCCGAAAAGTCTGACGATCTCTCTCTTGACATCGTGCGTTCGACATGCGCAGTGCTGCGAGCGTCAGTTCGACACCACCGAAGTTCTGCTGCTCGCTCCCCCTACCAAACGGGTGCATCTAAAGCTGTCGCCATCCCACAGTTGTGTCCAAAAAAGCTTGTTTACTAACCACGAAGTTCACTCAACGCAAAGTCAGATGATCAAACAGCTAAGCCACCGAGCGACCTCCTCAAGCCAGCCTGCGAGGTCGTGTGCTGCAACGTGCCATGCTGGATGCCAGTGCCAATGCGGAGGCAACTCTGTCAAACTTACGTCCAATGTCGCGGAGAATCGAGGCCGGCCAGAGCACCCCGCCTCTTTTGCATGCAATGACTATCATAAACTTCGAGTTTTTACGGTGCATGCCACGGAGCGGGTCAGCCCGGAATATGTCTTCTATCAGGAATGCAGGCAAACGGCGCACGCAACGTAGGTTGTGGCCGGCTGTGACGCTTCAATGCGTCAATCCTTCAAGTATTTGTTTGGAAACCGGAAGAAGCGAGTTTTCCCTCACTACTGAATGCCTTCCTAGGACGCATGGTGGTTCTGGGCAAGCGAAGGCCGTATCCATCACTAAGGACTTGCCTTCTACGAACAAGAAATCATGAAGCAAGCGAGCGGACTGTTGCAGAGATGGCGACTCCATGCTGGCAGCCGCCCTGAAACAGGCATAACCTTCTCGGCCTCGGCACGCCGACGGCGAGCACGGAGACGCTGCCGTGGGAGCCGACTGACTTTTGCGGCTAGCTGGGGCACCTGCCATGTGGCACATTTGGGACCGCAGGAGAACCATGCCGTTCCAAGCACGCCGGCAACGCGAGGACATCTCGCCATCCGGTTTCGGGTGTAACTCCAACCTGAGTGGACGAAGGGTCAAGCAAATCAAAGGTGGCTTGTCTGCCTCACTCCACGCTCGTCGGGGTGCGCAGCTGCTTTGTGTTGAGCCCGCTTTGGACCCACATCCCAGGCTACGAAGAGCAAGTACTGTTAGCTATCATCGTCAGACGTCAGACATTCAATGCCACCAGGGCCACCAACGATTACCAATGACAATGGGAATACGCGTCACATCCTCATGGGACCGGGCGTCAGGCCCGCAGCTCTTTCTCACTGAACCAGAGCGCGCTGCAAGGCAGCGGCCTGAAGCATCAACCGAGATTGCTGGCCTCCTCGCCGCAAGTTTTGAAAGAGGGGGCTAGAGAGGGAGAAACAGAGAGAGAGAGAGAAAGACAAAAAACATGCGAGGGGCTTCAGCAAAAAGGTAGTTCTGCGGCGAATTGTGTCCAGCATGTGGAGCGAAACCAAGGCAACAGCCTCTCGTCGAGCACGAGTGGCCGCCAGGGAGGCTGCAGCCTAGGTGGCACTCTGCTCTGCCCCGGGATGCCATGCCGTTTCTTCCATGCCTCACCCATGGCTACAGAACGGATCCTTAACTTCTACTTCACATTCACCAAGATTCCCTAAATGTGCATCAGAATGAAAACATGAGCAAGGAGCCGAGTCATGACACCTGGTGTTGAGCAGGTTTCGCAAACTACGGTAGTGATGTTGGTCCAGGCTGCGGACTCATCTTCAAAGAACGTCCGAATGGCACTCCAGCCAATATCCGTGACCTGCAACACGGAGTGTCTTGTTGAAACTCTCACACTTCCTGTGTTGCCTACCGGCAATCCCGTTCAAGCAGCTATGAAGGCATTTACGGACTGGTGGCGTCTGGTGTCCAGGGTTCAAGTCCGGTTTTTGACTTTGGTGGTTCAGGGTTTGCCGTGCAGTGCAGCAGGATGCAGCAGGTCACTTTTGCTGGTCTCACGCATCACTCGGGCTGCCGATTTCCAGTATGGAAAACCTCGGGGTCGCGTGCTTTCTCTCAGCATAGGAACATGGCCAAAGTGATTCTCCTGGCATTTTTCCGAGGAGCTTCTTGCCAGCATTATCGCCCGCAGTGCGAAGTTTGTCTGACAGGTACTTGAAGTCAGATTCTTTCACCTCGGGATGGCCGTAGCTAAAGGCTGGCCCGCCGCCGGACCCCCGAAGTTCAGGCAAAATTCAAGATGCGCATCACATCTCGAGAGAATAGTCATGAACTTTCACCACGCAGCAGCCAGGCAAACGACGTTGACGCCTTCCTCCATGACCAAGCGCAAAGCTTCAGCACAAAGCTCGATGCTCGCCTCCTCTGTGGTCATGCGACCCGGTCAGCAATATAGGGGTCTGCGGAATTCGCCCTTAAAAACCCCTGTGCACATATAGATGTATATACATATATACACACACACACACTACAAGTATACCCCAAAACTCCTATCCTGAGGCCCCTCTACTTATTTTCCTGGCAACCGCAAGACCCGATGCACCCGGGGACAGCTCCCCCGAAGGGTCCTTTGCGGGCACCACCTTTGGCTCTATACCGAGCTCACGCAGCCGCTTGGCCCAGTCAGTGTCCTCCGTGAACCCAGTTCCATCCTCAGTCTGTACATACTATGAATGTATATGTATCTACGTATTTGCTATGTAATATATATATATATATGTATATATATATACACATACTCATACAAATGTCGTATAGATAGACATAGTTGTTGATATTTACTGAATTCCTCAGTATTCAGAACCCAGACCAACTTACCTGCTCAGTGCGCTAGCAGACGGCGAGCTGGCTACATGAGGAGGTGCACATGCATTGCTATGCATGTACACATCTCTCTGCTCCCTGTCTCTGTGTACGTATATATATATATATATATACATATATATTTTATTTATCTATTTATTTATTTATTTGTTTATTTATTTATTGTTGTGTACATATATATATATATATGTCTTTATTTATGTATTCATATACGCATGATTATATTGATATTTATTTATTTGTGTACAGATTTTCAAAGTTTGTTTTATATATTCTCATGTATTTGTTTATTTGGTAATGTGCTGAATATTTAAACGCATGTGTGTCAAGTGTGGTATACATACACATTTATGTGTACACATACATACATACATACATACACATATACGTATATGCAGACACACACACATGTACATATTCGTATATGCATGCACATAGAAATATGCATATACCTACGCATACCTAACTCGACTACAAAATTTACATAATGCAAAGTACATATAACATACTGTACATATACGTATACATGCATACATATATATATATGTATGTATGTATGTATGTATGTATGTGTCTATATATATATATATATATATATTTGTATGTATACATATATATATATATATGTATATATATATATATCCTAAGTACATCTGAATACAAGTTGCATTTGCATCGGTAGATGTGTGTGTGTGCGCATATGTCTGTTGGATTTACGAAAGAACTCAGTTCACAGCAGCAGCAACAGCCATGTTCCGCACGGGGCTCGGCTATGAAAATTGACGAAGCCACGAGGGATCCTTCGTTACCTGAGGCAAGATACACGGCGCTGGAGCAGGCAATCTCTTGCAAGTGCTGTATCACCTCACCATCAACCGAGCGGTGTCTCTACATTCTGCCTTTTCACCTTCCTTCCTTCCTCTAAGGTTCGGGAGCAGCAGAGATGTTCCAAAGGGCGCGCCGCAGTTGATCTTACCAGCTGTGCCATTGCGGGCCCGGGGTTGTCGGGTAGTTTTTGCGGTAGGTCTACACGGCAAAGCCGTCCTTAAAGCTGGAGTGAAGAGTTCAATACGCCTGCCAACAACTCCAAGCATTGGCTCCTGAGAGGAGGGGCTGGCTTGGACACGATTGACGTTCGGAATTGGTTGATTTACCTCGACTGCAAAACCCATCAAACCCGATGCTGAGGAACCATCAACCCTCGGCATGCTCGAGTTACTAGCAGAATACTCCGCTATTTCTGGTGGGGCCTGGGCAATTACAACGCTACAAATCCAGATTCAGATTCAGAATCCTCGCACCAAACCATTCGAGGATGACTTCTTGATTTTTTCGGACCGCACCCACCGAACCAGTAGCTGGAAAATGCTAGCAGAGGTGCGTGCAACTTCGAGGGCAACGGGCCAGGAGGCCGGACCGTGGACGTCGCTGTCCTACGATTTCCGATTTCGAGTCTGGCGTTCAGGGTTTCGGCACAGACGGAAGCGAGCAAAACGAGAGCAGGAAGGGTGCACCTGTGACCGCCTGATTTAGTATGACCCTTGCTCATGGAGCGCTCCATGAGCAGCGTGCAGCGCTTCTCCATGATTCCAGGCGCCTCAGAACAATGAAGGACCGGAGCTGAGACACTCTGACTTCGCGCTGCATTCAGCTTACCGTCATGTGACGACGAAACTGAGCACAGCCTGGGACATGAGTTGACCGGAACAAAGCAATGAGATGCCACTTCTTCGTCGCAAGGCGGACCGCTTTCGCTGCGTGGGTGGGTTCGGACCGGTAGGTGGGTGGGTGTGCGCAGTCAGTGAGTGAGCGAGTCACTCAGTGAATTTCAATGACTAGGTGAGCGAGAGAGCGAGCGAGGGGGGGAGTGAGTAGGGCAGCGGACCAGCAACCTGCTCCAAGCTCCAGGCTTGACTTGAAGTTGCCGCAAGATCCAAAGCTGAGGCAATTGGACGCTTTGCTTGCAGTAGTTCCAGACGAGTTATAGTTGTGTCAGCATGCCTTGCCCAAGCCATGTCCCTTGCTGTCATGTCGGCTTCCTGGAAACCAGCGGCACCGTAACATGCTGCACGAGCACTTCGACTCTCCAACAAAGGTCTGCAAGGCCCCACCGGCGCTGTCACGTGGCACTACTTTTTCTCTCGCGTCCAAGAAGCTAAACCTAGGACGACTGCAGACCGAGCACGAAAGCAGAAAGCCACAGATGGGCCGCCATCGGCTCAGATTCCTATTTTGGCCTACAAATGCACGCGTTGGGGTGAAATTCGGCATCCTCAACTCGAAGTCTCGAGTCGGAGCGTGCTTCCACGCTGGCACCGGAGAGGCGCTCCAAAGGTCCGCCTCGCGGTCTCAGAGCTCCTTCTTCGCCTCTCCGTGATCTGATGTCAACACACTTTTCTCCCACATCGTCACTAGACTGTTCGAGCACCGTACCGCCGTCGCTGCCATCCGTGGTGGTAGTAGTGGTGGTGGTGGTGGCAGCAGCAGCGGGAGCAGGACCAGAAGCAGTAGTAGTAGTCGTCGTAGTAGTAGTAGTCGTCGTCGTCGTCGTCGTCGTCATCGTCGTCGTCTTGGTTGTAGTGGTAATGGTGGTAGTAGTGGTAGTGAGTGTCGTCGTTGTGGATCGTAGTTGTTGTAGTAATCGTCGTAGTAGTTGTCGTAGTCGTCGTCGTGTTCCTCGTCCCCATCCTCGTCCTCCTCGTCCTCCTGCACCTCCACCTCCACATCCTCCACCTCCATCACCCCCTCCTCCTCCCCATCGTCGTGGTTCATGGTAGTCACGGGTGGCCAGTGGTGGTGTTGTTGGTGGTCTTGGAAGTGGCTGTGCTGGTGCTCGCAGTGGCGGTGGCAGTGGAAGTGGCAGCGGCGGCAGAAATAGCAGCAGAGAAGCGACCTCTCTTCAGGACAAATCTTCCAGGTTTCACAGTACGGAGAATCCCCCCGAACAGAATTCAAAGGCCACGCTACAAGTACCAGAAGCAAAGTCTTGTTAGCCTTCTTTTTCTTGGACTTCTTTTTCTTCTTGTCGTCGCCACCCTTCTCCTGCAAACCCGACTCACAGCCGTGGTGGGTTTGAATTCAGGCCACCTGCGGAAGCGGAGGCCAACATCCCCAAGGGTCTCGTCAGACGAAGGGAGGGACTGGAGCGTGTGAACCATCGTCAAGGTCTGGTCTGAGGGCGGGCGCAAGCGGGGGAAGGGCCAGGCTGATAGTATGATGATCTCGTGTTCGTGTGACACTCCCAGCTCCTTCTCGATGGCATCCATGGCAGCTTGCCTACGAAACAGCCAACGCGCAGTCTTGCGATGCACATCATCACTTTCATCTACGGGCATGCCAGCCAGATGTTCCGACCCAGGCTCGAACAATCGGAGCTTCCGGCCTTGCTGCCTTCTTCTTTGCCCTCCAGGCTGCCTTTTCGGCATCAACCTGCTCGAACTTTAATGGGTAGCAGAAACACTCCGCGTTCGGATCAGAACCTACAGCCACTACGTCGCTACGTTCTTGTCACTGGGATAGTTGCGGCAAAAACCGCAGTTGTCGCACTTGAGAAACACGCCATGGCAAAACCCCAGAGCCTCATCATCGTCGCCAGACGCCTTCAAAAGCATGCCAAACTAAAATTGTTGCGACACCGCAAGTGTCCTATCCCCGCCTTTTTCGGCAGCGCGGCCGTGCAGCCACTGCTCAAATCACTCGGGCTGGTCCACTGCGTTAAACAAGTCATGGTATCGCCATGGTAGTACCTCAACTCTGAGTCTGGCATGGTGTGGTGCTAGTCGCCGGTGCCGGTAGGGTGCCTTCGTACATACGTGGCACCCAATGCGAGTTCAACAGAACAAGCCAGAGCTGGCTAGAGGCCAAAGCTAATCATGTAGCAGTAACTCATCGGGATCCGGTATCTGGCTCTGTCTCGCTGGACTGACCCAGCCAAGAGTTGAACTTCTTATTTCCGACTGCTGCAGCCAAAGCCACATTCCTTGGCAGAACTGATCAATCTCGCTGTCGCAGGCTTTGTTCACCTCAACGAAATCCTGCCAAGATCTGCCAAGCAAGGATTCTCTGGGTCTAATCGCTGGGCAAGATACTTGCCGTTGTGATGCGCCTTAGTACTACCTCCCCTGCACCCCAGTATGCTGAACTGCAAATCAAGTCTCCTTGCAACTAGTGGACAACTCCAGGGGCTTCTCCTCAGGCGCAGGTGACGAATTGCTGAAGTCCTGTTTTGTGCATATCCTCGTGCCAAAGAAACCCTGCAACAACAAAGTGTTGAAGTAAACGGTGTGGGATATCCTCAGCACTGAAAGTTCAGACCAAGAGGCACCAGGTTCAAGCTCCCGTGGGTTGCCGTCGATGTCCGTCAACTGTCGTCTAAGGCGGATCCAGCTTAGGGCGTAAGGAACGGACTGAGCTGTGCGAACTACTAGACTATGCCGGTGCAGAAACTTTCGGCGAAATGCCGACTAATTCGGATAACGATGATGATAAAAATGAGAACGAATGGCAATGACAACGACAATAGTCATGATACTGACAAAGGCACTTACAATGTATGATGATAAGGGTAGCGACAGTGATAATAGTGCATTGGTCGTAATAATCAATTAGAAGAAGACTGAGACGAAGAATAGCAGCGAAAAGAAAAGCATAATCAACATACTGAAAATCGTGGCAGTCACCAGTAGTGACAGAGCCCGAACTACATTACGTCATCGTTGTCATGCCATTGTTCCCTAAACCCCAAACCCTAAACCCCAAACCCTAAACCCTAAACCCTATAAGCCCCATAAACCCTAAACCGTCATTCGTTCTCGTTATCCAGCCTGGTGCTTCGCGGGGTCGAGGAGGCACTCCCCGATCTCCTGCACCCCGCAAAGAACACAAATCGGCTTAGGGGTTCAGGAGTTTAGGGATTTATAGGGCTTGTAGGGTTCATAGGGTTTAGGGGTTTCTAGGGCTTATAGGGTTTAAAGGGTTTAGGGGTTTATAGGGTTTAGGGGTTTATAGGGCTTATAGGGTTTATAGGCTTTAGGGTTTATGGAATATATCGTACGCAGCAGTATGCAGTATGTGAAAACGAGTTCGGGTGCGCGTGTAGATCTTTTTCGGCATGAGGTTCAAACGAACCGGCCATTCTTCAGAAGTGGTCGAGAGGAGAAGTGGCAAGCTTCGTGGGAGAAAGATGAACCTGCACCGCTGCCACCAGGCTGCCTCAAAACTACATAAGTTTGCACGTACTACTACGCCTATAGGCTTTGCACGAGGTGCGGGGTAGATTGCGTGGAGGCAGGCATAGGAAGACAAATCATCGACATAGGTGCGCACTTGAGCACAAGTGTGGTGCAGTACAGCGACACCCGACAGCAAAATAAGCAAAGGGCAACTTCCAAAGACAGGTCTCTGTCAATGCATGACGTCCTTCCCAATGCTCATTGGGCATACCCGACCGGCTTCATCATCGCATGGCGATAGCGCCTTGCGAAGACAGTGTTGCGAGCAAGAGAACAGTATCCGAGATGGAGTCTGGAAGAGCAGCACCAGCAGGCTCCAGCATGTCCACAACAGAAGCAAGGTTTCGATCCCCAATATGCAAATCAGCTTCACTGCGGTTGCAAACCGTTCCACTGGCATATTATGTCCTGCGGATATTCAGCCAGATTCTACGATGCAGTTCAAGGTGCTACCGAAACAACCATCAATCCCTTCCCGAACACCAACGCCCCCAAACCTCCCAAAAGAGCACGAACAATGGATCGAGCTCCTTGGTGCAAACGAGGGAGGTGCCTCGCTGCTCAGCACGGCACCGAGGGCCAGCAGCCAGCGGCCCATCTCGCCTGCAGTGGCTTCCGAGCCCCTCGAATTTAGGGCTTAGGGCCAGCTGCGCTCATAGCAGTAGAAGCGCGTCAGGTCTCCGTTATGCCGCTATGCCTGTGCGCGCGTCCCAGCCCCTTCTCTGCCAATCGGATGAGCTGCGAGCATGCACGTCATCGGTGTTCGAGCGTGCGCGCTCCCCTGTCACCTTAACGCCACGCCTAGGGCCTATGCCAGCTTTGCAGAGCCCGCAACCAAAACTACGGGGCCTGACTATGAAGTGGTAGAAAAAAATAGAACTGTGATAACAGCAATCATCATGGTGGCAGTGGTAGTAGTAGTAGCAGCAGCAGCAGCAGTAGTAGTAGTAGTAGTAGTAGTAGTAGTTGTAGTTGTTGTTGTAGTTGTAATGGTAGTAGTAGCAGTAGTAGTAGTAGTAGTAGTAGTAGTCGTCGTCGTCGTCGTCGTAGTAGCAGTAGTAGTAGTAAGTAGTAGTAGTCGTCGT